GGCGAAAGTAGTGTCGCTAAGGGGAAACTAGATAGACGTTGAGGCGAAATCATAGACAAAAGAGTTTCCCCCTAAGATACCAACATGATGGTAAAATGAATTAAAAAAATATTTAGTAATAACACATTTCTTATTTCTTTCTTTGATGGTAAAAATCACTGAATGAAAATCTAAGGATGAAACTCCTACCTTACAAGCTCCGGATCAAGAGGATGGAGAATAGTGCAGCTGTCACCTAGCAATTTCCATAAACAACTCAGATCAGGACGTAAAGATATTGCACTGTCACAACAAATAAACATCAATTATATTATTTTTACTCTCATTACTCAGGATTATACTTGAGCAAACAGAGGTTAAAATCTTATTATAATTATATATTACGATTATTTATATAACTACACAATTATATTGTTTGCAGTGGCTTTTCAAAGAGTGCAATTTTTGTTTCCACCCCCAAGCATTACCTCACTCAGAGTGTACTTGAACAATTATAGAGGTCACCTTGGTCAATCGCTGAGATTTGACAAAGCGATACTTTGGAGGAGATATAGAAAACCATTTTTATTTTGTCCCATTGATTTATAGATAATAATGATCCAGTTGTTTCAGTTTAAACAATAATAATAATAAACAACAATCAATCATTTGAACTTACCATTGCAAGGTTGTAATTGACTTGCAAACATAATCTACAGCTCTTCCATTCAAAAAGTCCACCAATGAATCTTTGGCAAGAAGGAGATATGTTTCACCAAGACCTAAAAAACAGCCAATAATCTATAAGCTCAAAATTGAGTCCTTATGGACCATGTGATAATGTGATTATATATTAGGAATTTAAGTAATAAAAACTTAAGCCCACCAAGGATTATTAATACTATATTCACATAGATTTTTTTCAGGGGGAATATTTAGAATTAAGAGAAATTTAGAAAAAAAAAATAAACCAAGGAGCAAGGAAAGGAAAATACCAAATTGACCTACTGTGATACAGTGGGAAGGGGCCTTTCCTTTTGTGTTTGTGCTGTTTTCTGGGGAAAAAATTTAGTGCTTGTCTCCTGCCTTTAATCTCCTATATTTCCCAAGCAAAACGACATATATATGACTGCGAATGAACAAGAACATTTTCAGCCAGGCTCCATGTTGGAAGCAATTTTGACGAATGACAGTGGTGTAAGTTTTACCTCAATATGTTAACATCATACCTTTGAGGGCTGGTATATAGCCCTCCTGCTTACTTAGGATAGCACAGTAATCACTTACAGCATCAGTGTACTGCCCTAGGGTTTGTTTTATTGAGGCAATCCTATGAAATAAGAAAACAGCAAATGAATGTGGTAGTGAGCAAACTATCAAGTGATAGGCTCGAAATTATATTCATTCATGGAATTTACATTATACATATTGTAGTCTAATATATCACATTAGTGTTGGCTAGCCTTTCTGTGGAAATCAGTATAGTTCTTTATGAATTTACAAAAAGGGTTGTTAATGTAGTATTGTGTAGTCATTTCTTCAACCAGCCATAGTAAGCCAGTGGTGGCATAATTTGTACAGATGTTACACCTAGTAGCAGAGATGTAAACATGATAAAATTTCAGTATCTTATACAACTACAGTTCCACAACTTACTGGTACTGACAATACACAGAAGCTCCATCAAGCTGCAAATAATGAGAATGATATTAATTTAAATATAAAATTCATATTTAATACTAGCTACAATCAATCTTTTATCTCTACAAATTTTAATTGGCTATGCATTAGGCATGCAGTGTTAAAAAAACTAACGCTTTTTGATTGACCATTCCTACAAATCATGCTGACCGTTTTAAAAAAGGATTGTCTTTTTTTTTTTGTGGAAATTTGATTTACTATTTATAAGTCCACCCCAGCGGAACTAGCTAAAAGGTTAAATACAATTTGGTAACACTTATAGATTTACCTCAAGAGCTCTTGTAAATGCCTTCAATGCAGCAGTATAGCTCCCTCTACACTGGTATGCTTCTCCCATACACTCCCAGCAACGGCTAAAAGAAAAAAAAATATATATTATAAAGGGTTAATACTGTGATGAAGATATTGAAATCAGATATGCTCCTACAAAAAATCCATATAATAATTATTTTAAAGAAAAATTTTATAACACTAGACTCTCTATTAAAACATTTTACTATATATAACAATATTTGTAATAATTAATATATCTTACCTATCTTTAGTATCAGCTCTAAGTGCAGCCTGAAAACTAACAATTCAAATAAACAATGTTTAGTATTTTGAAACTTTAAAATAATACATTTACTTTTGTTATCTATTGGCAACAGTGATACAAATACTCTACATGTTTTTAATATTACAGTATTTTCTGCCTTTCTCTTTTTAGAGTTTTGAACACTGGATGCAGTTTAAAAATGCACTTTACAGTAAACATAATTATTAAATAGTCAGCACCATAATCACAAGTCACCTTTTTAAACACACATAATAACAATACAAAATATATACAAAATAAAACAACTGTCCAACCTTGTGACAGCTTTTCCTGCATCATTATTTTTGAGCTGATACAGACCCAGTCTAAGCCACGCCCACTTTGCTGTACCAGCTGCAGCTTGTGATGTCACCGACTTCAACATACTAAGTGCCGATTCCTAAAAAATTAATTGAAACAATGATTTCAGAGGGAAGAACAAACAGTGACAAGATGTAAAAGCATCAATAGTTGGGTGGTGGGCCTTTGTGGCTCATATTTGTGATGTATAGAAGTTGGTTTGTACATGTCTACACAAGTTTGAGTTGGTGTTAAAATGTTTTACAAACACCTGACCTGTTCAGTAATGACCGAGATTAAAATTTTAACTTTAGTCAAGTGCAACAAAACTTAAAAAGAAATACAATTTGATAAATCACCTCATCTGCTGTTGCTATGCAAAGATCAGCAAATGCTGTGCCAGATTCTGCATTATCAATGTTTAAGTCAAATGATTTCTTAAAACAACTTTTGGCTCTCCTGTGAATAAAAAACATACATTAATATGAGCATAATTTTTTAAAATACAAAATCTGTTATAACAAGGTCACAAGATGTTGCATGAGATGTTGCAAGAGTTGTTGCAACAAATAAAATCAACTGAAAAAAAAGGTGATGACAGTACAGCAATCCTAGAACAAGAAAGACGGTGGGAAAGAATGCCACAAACATGCCAATATAGAGAGAATTAAGTAATGATAATGATAATGAAACTTAAAAAACAAGACTAAACTTAAGAATGGTATATTCTAGAAATCTCTAACATATTCTTTCTTGGTTTGGCCAATTTAAATCTAATTCTATGCAATGTCGGGCAAGCAGAACAACTGGTGCAGTCAACTTCAATATCAATGCTTGATTGAAATTGTAGAAACCCAGCAGGGTATAGGTAATGTTTCTGGTTTATACAATTAAATGCAAATTAAATCAAATAAAAAAATAAATAAAACAAAATAAACAACACTAATGCTAGTGCACAGTTCAATTATAGCATTATTATCTATACCACACTGGATATAACATATACAACATCTTCTGCCTCCTTGAGATTATTGTTAGCCTTGTATTTTAGCAACAGACCAAGTTTACTTCATTCCCATCCCACCAGCTACCAATTTACACAAAAAAAAAAAGCAGACACATAGTGCCTTGATCCCGAGGACAAAGTAATGTGACCAGCCATGGACAGAAGACAATTTGATTGAAAGTGCAATCCGTTCCACTTTGTTACAATTACTGTACCTGTTATCGTTTGCAATCTGATGGTAATAATGTCCAAGATACTGGAAGACTCCTGAGTTGTATGGATCAAGCTTTGCTGCCTACAAATTGAAGAACAACATTAAAATTAAAATTGGAATTGGAATACAAAAGATACGAATGTAAAACATGCTGAATTCGAAACCCAACAGCTGCTCTTCCAAACAACTTGTGTTACATTAGTATGGCATGACAGTCACACCTTCATGAAATTACTAAGACACTTGGACCTGTCCATCCTAGCCTTCTCTCCAGAATCCCATTGCACTCTTCCAAGCCAAAAGAATAGCCTGGCATTATCTGGCTGGTTAGTGATTGCTTCTGAAAGCCTGGAAAAGAACAATTATTATAATAAATATTAATGAACTTCTCAAAAAACTATAGTGTTACTATAAAAATACTATAGTGCTAACCTAAATGCATTCAATCCTATAACATATTCCCATAGTAATGTATATTCACTTGCAGATTGGAATACATTGGCTATATAAATGACCAACATTATTGTTATGATTATAGTTTTTATCATAAAAGTATAGTGTTTCATTGGTATTTGAACTCAAGATGCTCCGACTAAACTAATATATACGCTGTTAGGTTTTTTTCCTTGGAAAACATTTTCTTAACACTACTATACAATATTAATTGATAAATAATATATAATCAAGTAATGCCGTCATCTTAAAACTAATTCTGTATTTACATTTTTTCTGCCTCATCATATTTTCCTTGAAGTCCAGCAATCCAGCCGGTCAGAGCATTGGTCAATACATTATTTGAATATAAGGCCAAAAGTTCTTTGCAATACTATAAATATAATAAAAATACAATTTTATAAATATAAAACAATATTCATAATATAATTTGGAAACGATTTGTAATGAAAACCACTGTAGAACATGCTATGATAGAATCTAATATGTAGGAAGGGAGACATACACACACCACTAAACAACTCTCATGTTTATTGTTGTTCTATCTGATTTATTATAGTAGACAACCTACCTTCTGAGCCTCATCCAGTTGGCCTAGCACACAGTATGACTCTACCAAACATTGTGTACATTCTACCTTCAAACTATCTGCGTTCTGCAACTGTAATTATAAAAACAAATACTTTTTCCTTAACTTTTATTATAATATTTTTTTTGTTTATAAAATACTGTATACTAAATTCAATTCTTTCTTCATTCCAAAACAAAATATACAAAGGTATAAAATACAAAACAAAGTAAATGGTATATGTATATTGATGGTAGAAAGGAAACACTTTTAACAATCTTATAATCTTGATACTCATTAAATTTTATTTGTCACATAAAACGTAAGGAATAAAGTCTTAGGTCAGAGTCTAAATCTCACGTTATATGTTTAAATCTCATGTTAAATGTTCAAATCACATGTTGGCTGGTCGGCCAATCACAAGGGTCCTTAAATGAGGCAAACTATCTATGCAACTCAAAGTTATGGAAAGATAACAACTAATGAAGTAATGTAGACACTACAGTAATTTTAAAAACTGTTCTCATGTTGTAATTGTATGCATGTTTAAATACAGAATTGACAGTTTTGATGCCTTAAATGAACTATAGCAAGGTCTATGTAGACAGGGTACCATCCTATTGCACCAACATTACCTCTTTGAATGTGTCTATAGCCTCTGATACTGCAGTATGTGTCGCACGATCAACCATTGATTTTTCCCTCAAAAACAAAAATAGCTCCTTCAAATGATGCCATCTCGCACTCCTCTTTAAAAGCTTCAATCCTTCATGAGACCAAATTAAGCATTTAACCCTAGTCAGTTGGTGAACAAGTTTAAATACTATATTTTGTATTCTTTACTGTATAGTTTGTATAAAGAGAGACAAAGAGAGAAGTCACTTGTCTAGTGGCTTAAACATGGCCATGTGGACATTACAAAATGAAACACTTTCTGGAAAAGAGCAGGGAATTTTTGGTTGATTGATTTGGCAATAAGCCAACACCATACACACAACATAAGTTTATGTTGATTGACCTCGACTGACCTTAAATATGAGCATGCGCAGTTCTAACTGCGAATTGGCTGGGTATTGATGGGGTATTGGATTATTCATGTGCTGATAGATTAGGTGATCTATTTTGTAGTACGTTGATTAATTAGCAGATTAATCGATTGTGTGTGGGTGATTGATTGATTAATTATTACCAAACCAAACTCACCTTTCTGTGTGGCCTTTTCAACTCCATCATTATCATGAATGGCTAGTTTTGCTTTACTGATATACAACCAGCCATGAATATTACCAGGCTCTGCTTTTACGCCTGGGAAAACAATAAATTTAAAACAAAGATGGAAAATGTTGGTTAAAAACTATTCATTATTTTAGGATTAACGAACACCTATTTGTTATTCATTGTTTCAGATAATTTACCTTTTTCCAATAAAACTTTAGCTTCAATGTACTTCTTGTCTTCTAGTTTTATTTTACCTAGCCCTAGGCTTGCTAATCCAATCTTTTCCTCCATTGTCTCAAGCTGCTGAAAAGCTTCAATAGCCTCAGGAATACAGACTGTGAAACACACAACAAATGAGAAATAATAATTTAAAGAATTTCTGTTATAGATTTAAAATAAATATTTTGGAACCTTTCAAAATATTTAAACAATGTATAAAAAAAGCTGCAAAATGTATACATCAAACTGTACAAATATTGACTCGTACGTAACATAATAAACTTACCATTTTGAGTTAGGTACACTTGAACTAAGGCCTGCAGTGGCTGAATGGATGAGGGTAATCTTGTCTGCATTTTCTGACTCACCTCAAGAACCTGCTGGTCACTGTCATGTTTCTGAAATATATTTGAATATATTAATAATGATAAAAATATAAACAATAATCATTTAAAAAATATATCAAACATATGACTTTACTCTTTATACGACTAATCAATATAAACCAACCTTTTTTAAAAGATCCACAAATTTAACAAAGGTCTCTTCCAAACTTGATTCATCTTCAATCATCTCAAGCAGGTTTGTGTATGCTCTTTCAAGCTGCAGGAAAACAAATTAACATTATGTGAATTTCATCTTTGCAGCGATTGTCAGCGCCACTATAATCACATTTCTGGTTGTCATTGTCATCATCATCATCAATTTATTATCTTGTATATATATAAATATTTGTCTATATCTTATCTTGTATATATATCAAATTTATATAGCACCCTTTCTTGAATATTCATGTTTACATGACAAAAATACAAAAAATATACTAAACAACTCAAACTTTGGCTTTGATTATAACAATAATATCCAGACAGGGTCAATGTTATTTGATTTGAATTGTTTTAGCATAGAAAAATAAGATCATCCCGTATCATGCATACCGTATATACTTGCATATAAGGCGATCACTTATAAGACGACCTCTGAGTTTGAGAAGATTTTTGGATGATTTTTGCATGTCTGGCTTTTATAAGATGACCCCTGTTTCATCATTGAAATTTCTACTTTTTTTCTTACTTTTTTTATGGTCTTAATACTGCATCTTGCTGGCTAGAATCAGAGCCAAATGCAAGGCTAATCTTCATGAGCTTTTAAATGTTCCTCAAAATCTTATTTCCCTGCATTTAAAATTGTGTTCATTCATACGAACATTTAGAAGCTTCACTGCAGTAGTAAATTTGCATGTTATGGACCATCTGCACATAAGACGAACATGATTTAATAAATCTAAAATTTATATGTCTTGTGTATACGACGACCCCGTTTTCGATCCTAATTTGCTATTTTAAGCTTTACCCGAGTATATACGGTAACCCACAAATGAGTACATTCTCATAATGCAGTACTGCATACCATTGCATATGTTCAATTCAACAATTTCTTTATTTTTGTTTTTATATTACTATTCTCCAAATTATCAAGTACTGACCAATACTTCTTCATCCGCTGATAACTTTTGCTGATTGGCTAAGATTGATGCAACCTTTGTCCAGTATGGCAACTTGGCTGAATTATTCTCCAGAAAATCTGCTTCCAAAATGTCCACAATAACACTGACAACCTATGATATCAATACATAAAGTATTCAAAAAGTCCAACAAATTACCACATAGTTAGGCAATTCAGTAGTTTAAAGCCAATACTTCTGTCTGACAGACCAAACAAAGTTTGATCAGACTTTGTAAAGCTTTGTCCACACTATCAAATTTTTTGACTGTTGTATGAACATATATAGTCATGATGTGATAATTATGGTCCTAGAGTGATGTCATCATGACCATATTTGTATGCCACATGATTTTGTCAAATAAAATCTGACAGTCTAGGCAGAGCTTTAGTGTATGCCTTTTCCAAACTTATTTGATCAAACAAGCAGTTTAATCTGGCATAGCTGTTGAAAGTTGGACAAAGCCATCATACACTCGTTCTTAATCATAATTCATACCTTCTTTAGGTCATTAATCATTTCATAGAATTTGACTTGTTTCTGAGCTACAATCAACCACTTTGCCTTGTCGCTGTTGATCAGAATACTAGCCATTTTTTCGTAGGCTTCCTCTATTGTAGCTTTGTTTTCTTCTGTGTGGGTCCTCTCGCAGAGGTCGCACAAACCCTTTAAAAAAACATATATATCAATGAAAATTTGATACAAAGATTTCAGAACTACAATCCTCACAAAGTTTGGCACAGAACTTGTGCAACCGTGGCCTTCCTCAAGGTTGTGTGAAAGATAAGAAAGTGTGCACAATTTTCTGGGGAGCTGCACACGTCATAATAAAACATTATTTATCATTATCTCTGTGATTTTCACTAGTTCTGTGACACATTCTTCCAGGTCATGTAATCACCTAATGAATTTTCATTAGATGACGATAATAAAGTTCCCCAAAAATATCACAACTGCCAGATGATCGAACTTGGCATGATACTTGGAGAAAATTTCACAACCTGTTCAGCCACTTTATACAGTATTTCCCTAGGCGCGCCAATCAACTCACCTGCCAAGCAAGTAACTGGTTCGGATCATTTTCAGTTGCCTTTTTATATGCCATTCTGGCCTGGTCCAACTGGTCCATTTCTGTTGCCGCCTTCCCAATAAATACAAATGCATTGTAGTTGGTCTTTTCCAGTTTTAAGACAGCCTTCATAAAAAACAAAAGCATCATTTAAATATGTAATACCAGGTGTGGTGGATAGTTTTTACCATGTGGTACATCTTATAATATACAATACTGGCCCAATACTGACTCGAAAATACTAAGATGGTGCCATCTGACAGGGTGATAGATTTCCTATGTACTTTAGTTTAAGTCATTTTCTTTGTTTCTTTTTTAATATAAATTCCAGCAAATGTTTCATTAAATTTCAAATAAATATATATTTACCTTGCAGTGCCTCAATGCATCTTTGTATTCTTTATTTTTGATAGCTTCTCGGGCACTTTTCAACCATGCCTTTACTTCCTTGTTGGATCCACTCGCCATCTTGAAGCTTGACCAGAATAATTATTTAGAAGGTCTAATAAAATGATAAAAACATTTTTTTTAGTCTCCTGATAGTGATACTGAATGGGGTTCCCATGGCAGGCAGGGGCGGATCCAGTAAGGGGAACAGAGGGGCACGTTCCCCCTCCCATTTTGGCACTAAATTTTAAAATTTCAAGGCATATATTGATAGTGCTCTCACCCACCCCCCCGTTTGAGAAACTCTGGATCTGCCCCTGGTGGGGCTATAATTTGAACAATGCATTTTGAGGTGATATATCGGCTATTACAGATTAGAGTTGACAAAAATTACCATGACCTTTAATCTGCATAGTACTGACCTTACATTACTGGAAGCATGGAGGTATAAAAATAGAAGGAGAAACAACCCTTTGTACTTAACTGAGTTGCCGACACATTAAAAAAACCCATTAACCTCGGTATCGCACATCATTATCAATACCCTCAGGCAAGTATGCAAACGAACACATCCGAGGTCAACCATTCCTAGTTGGTCTGTAGGCAGCAAACGCACAGGTCTCGCTTCACTGGTTTCACATCACTGGATTTCGCATCGCTGGATTTCCCCATCAATGATAGTATTAATTAACACATGCAGTACTTGCACGCCAGCCTACCATCCAGCCATCATTAATAATTTTACCAATATTATAAATTTACGTAAGCCCTGTCTGCTTAGACTTAAAAACCTTTATAATTTAGGTATATGATACTGTACACCACCAAGAACGAGTTTGCGGCCATGTTTTTTGTGAGTTGTTTACATCTTGATAATTACAGCATACCTCACTGAACCTCAGTGCTTTAGATCTACAGAATACCTAGCCAGACCGTAATACATCCATTTCTTATGTTTAGTTAGCCGATTTTGTCATTGGCGATTACAGTTGAAAACCACACGGGTATTTTCTAGATTTAATAATACATAATTAAAATTGTAATAAATTACTGGTATTGTCTCCTTAATCTTGCCGACTATGGCATGTTTCTGTACACGCTAGCCCGTAAATGCTCGAATACATTTAGAGGCTTCAGTGCGTGCGGGACTTACTCGGGAGCTTATTAAAAAAAATATTGGCATGGTGCTTTCCACGTTCGTTCCCATGTTACCTCTCTCACGTATTCCCGTAGGTCATTAGCCTATCTTTCGTCATTGTAAATAAACGTTTATAACTGAAATGCTTGTCTTCATTGTGTTATTTATTCATTTTAACATACACATTGTATTTAAAACCCTGTTTCTCAAAGTATTTCATTGGACACAAGGAAATAAAAATACTCTCGATTAAGCGCCGCATGCAGCGCTTGCTTGAGAAAAAAAATCAGGTTTGGTGCGGCGCATATTTCAGCATTGACGGTATTATAATAGTTTTCTACATCTGAAGTTGTTGGGTTGCTTTTTATCTTCGAAAGGAGGCAGAGCTGACATATGACATCCAAAGCAAATGAATAGAATGTTATTTTATTTTATTAATACACAATTTCATGGAAACTTTTATTAAAAAGCTATATGACATGCACACATACATAGTTAAGTTGTCATGTTATAGGCCTAACAATTATTGGCTTTGTTCATAAAACAGTAGACTGTACCTATTTGTTGACTTTTTATCATTATTATTTATAAAATGAAAACATAGCAAATTATTTCTGAAATTGTGGAAGGCCTTGCGTCTATTCCATAGGCCTCACTCGAAACACACATAGGCCTACGTTACGTACGACTTGAAACTAATTGCGAACTTTATAATTCAAACACGGGCAAGAACAGTATAGCTGTATGACGACCATATGACAACTGCCTCATACTTTTTGGAGGTAGAAACTCCATAGGTTAGAACATGAAAAAGGTACAGTACATGGTAAAC